ATGTAATAATCAATAAAATAATYAACAATTATGTAATGTTTTTGAATTATTTGTATGTAGGGTTAATTCTTTGTTAATATCAAGAGATGATTGGGAATTAGTATTGAATAATTCGAGTCCTTATCGTAGGAAAGTGTTAAATGTCAAGAACTCTGTCTATGTTCCACATAAGAAAACGATGATATTTGTTTTGCCGCCTCAAAAGGAACTTGAAGTATTAGTTAGATTTCAGCCAAAAAAACCTGGTGTTAGTACATCAATACTCTTTATCAGGTAATATTATTTACATCAAAATGAATCATATATTTTACTTTATACAATTTATGAATATTATTTGGAATTTGATATTTTGATTTTCAGAAATGATGTATCTATTCTAGAAAGTATATTACTAAAAGGGATGGGAGCCTATCCTGTATTATCATTTGGTTCTAAAAGAAAACTACCTCCATTAATTTTTGATTTGGAATCTAGTCCTATGATTGATCTTATGTGTAGTAAAAGTGAGTGATTTAAAACTTAATTTTTTTCCACTTAGTATCAAAGCATAAAATATTTATTTTTTTCAGATAAAACTTTATTGCCATCAGAGACCAGAATATTTTTAATAAAGAATCCTGGCAAACATACAGTTAGGATTACATCTATGACTATAAATAGCGTACTTTGCAGTGGGTATGGCTTTAGAATTTTAGATTGCAGAAAATTTTCTCTTCTGCCTAATCAATCTAGAGAAGTATAATTTGCTTACATTTAATAGCCTGTTTTTAAAATTAATAGACATTTTTTTTAGGTATCAGTTGAGTTTACTGCTGATTTCACGTTGAGATCTGTTATTCGCCAGTTAGAAATAAATACTGAAGAAACAATTGGATCAGAAACCACCAGTCGTATTTTCATATACCAGCTGTGGGGTATTGTACCACCAGAATGGGAATTATGCCAAGAAAAATATACGTGGCAAGAGTTCCGCCGAGGTGATAGTTGGATTCGACCAGAGTGGGAATCTTCGATAGGCCAAATTATGCTCTTGGCTGCTGGAATACTCATGGTAGTTGCTTGGATTGTTTCAATTGCTGCTGTGCATACCATCGATAAGGATTTTTTATCTAAAAACCTTGGTCCWCCATGTGTTGGAGCTCATGGAAAACGGTCATTTCAGTCTGTTTTAGCACAATCAGGAAATGCTAAGAAAAGCGAATTCAAGTATGTAATACCAAATACTTCATTTGTAGTATTGGCCATGTGACAGGTGCTAATATTTAATTAACAAATCAACAGGAATTCCAAGCACAAAGAAGGCAATGATGAAAAACGTAATGAAGTAATACCGGATCCAACTTCTTTGGGTATATCACAGAGTGAAAATAGTTATGTCAAGCCGTCAGACTCTACACCCATTTGGAGTTTTATGTTGCGTAATACAGAACMAGAACCAGAACCAGAACAAGTAATTTTTTTCCTCCTTCTTTTGACATAATTATATAAAATAAACTTTTTAGAAATTTGAAAAAGATCGAAGTAGATCTCATTTACTTGATAATCATCCTAAAGAAAAAACAAAAAGACGTTATTTAAGCCAAACAGTGGTTTCAGAAACTGATTCTAGTCAAAAGTACAATGTATCTTCATGGCAAATCGCGAGAAATAGGTATGGTTTTATGTAATTCTTTTATTTTGCAATTTTATTKWRMAATTTATTTATTTTTAAATTTATTAATTTYATTAATAATTTTTTTAAACATATCAGAAATAACATAATTTTCATTTTATTTAATCTTATAAGACTAACATTGAAATTGTTATTTACTCAAAATAATGTGTGTCTTAGACTATTTTATTTCATTATAAAAATTAAATTTCTAATAAAATAATGCGTTCACTTAGAATTTTAAGAGATTGACACGATAAATTTGACTAATATAAAAAAAGCATTATTTAATTGTATAATTATTATAAATTTCTGTTTGTTTGTTTGTTTGTTTTTTTTTTTGTAATGGAAAAGTTACAACTAAACAATATTTGAAAACCATGCTATACAAGATGTAATAGTACTATTTGACAAATATAGTAATGTTTGTAATGAAAATTTGTTAAATAGCCCTGTTACACCTTAATAAAAATAACTTTGTTTGGTGATAAACTAATTTCAAATCATTTCATAATGATGACTTTTTATTKATTTTCCTATAGATCTCCTGGATTTGTAATAGATTCTCAATTAAACAAAAATTCTAAAGCTGAAGAGGGAAAATTTGAAATGGAAAATCGTAGACGTGCTGAAAAATTACTAAAAAAACAGTATGGATTAAAACCAGTTGATAGTTGGAGAAAACACAAGAAAGCTCTTAACGCAGCTAAATATTATGAGGAACTTCCAGTGACAGAGAAAACTAGTCCAAGTCCAGAACCAAAAGTTACGGTAGAAACTAAACCAGATCTTAAAATAGTAAAAACTGTGAAAAGCAATAAAAAAGTTTCTACCATAAGTCTTCCAGTCATAAAACCTATTAATAGTACAGAATCTCCAATAGCAGTTTTGACTTCCCCATCACTTGAAGTGGTTAAAAAACCTATTGCTTCAGTTGCACCCTACCAAATTGTTCTTCCTAAACAGCCAATTGTGACAATTGTACAGCCAGAACGTATGATCGAAAAGTTTAATGTTTCAAAATCAAAATCAATACAAGCTGTACAGAATAAAATTGAAAAAGAACCAGCAGCAATGCGGTCAGCAATATCGAAGAAATCAATTATTGATGATGATGGACTATTGGCAGAATATAAGTGTATGAAGAAGAAAAATAAGACGGAGAGAAAGGGTTCATTACCTCCTTCTACACCACCAGTAGCATCACCAGTTCCACCATTAATAGCACAACCTATAGTTGTTAAGCCAAAGGTTCAAAGTGTGGAAAAATTAAATGTGCCAGATATAGCGAAACCAAAAGTTCAAGCGGTAGAAAGGTTTATTTCATCAGAAGTTACTAAACAGAAAGTTCAAAATGTAGAAAGATTCAACGGAGCAGAAGTAATAAAGCCAAATGTTCAGGCTATGGAAAGATTCAATTTGCCAGACATCACAAAACCAAAAGTACAACCTTCAGTAAAGTTCAGTTCGCCAGAAGTTTTAAAACCAAAAGTTCAAACTGTTGATACTTGTGATTCATCAGAAGTAGTCAAATCAAAGGATCAAAGTCTTGAGAACTTAACTTCATCAGAAGTGATAAAACCGAAAATTCAATCTACAGAAAGAAGCACATCTCCAGAAGCCACAAAAATAAAGGCACAAACAGTGGAACGGTTCAATTCACCAGATGCAATGAAACCCAAACTGACGGTGGAAAAATCTACATCTTCAGAATTGATAAGGTCAAAGGTTCAAACATTGGAAAGGTGTAATTCTCCAGAAGTTATGAAATATAATGTTAACGAAGATATTGTTCCTGCCACCACAGAAAAAGATAAAAAAGATTTTGTATCACTTGATAAGCCCCAGACCGATCAACAATTAGATTTCAAAAGAAAAATTACTGTATTGAAAAGAAGTTCCGATGAAAAACATGTTGATCTTTCACCAACAATAACAAATAAGCATGGTARTATTTTATTGAGTTGCATATTTTAATAMAATATTGAACTACTATGAAAGATTATTTAACCGGCATTCTAAATGTATTTGGATAATAGAGCTAACGTTTTTTAAATAAAAAAAAAAAACCAAAATAACGTTTATAGGTTTTAAAAACAAATTATGTACATTTGATTCATTTAAAAATAAAGTATTCCGTTCCAATTATCACTAAAAATATGACACTATTAAATGAAATTGAAAATAATAATTTGAGACAAAAACAAATATTTTGTTGATACTTTTTGGTTATAGTATTCCTTTTAAATTTATTAATAGCCTTAAAAAAGCTTATTAATTAGACAATATGATTATAAAATATCCATATTTACTGTAAGAAGTGATAACTAAGTAAATACTTAATAGATCTCAGTACAAAACATTCTACATGCTTGCCAATTATTGGCCTTTATTACGATTACTGAAAGTACCATTTTATAATTTATWATATATTAACCATATAAATACTTTACATTTATTTAGGATCTTAAGATACTTAAATTTTTACATTTATTGTATATAATTTTTAATTCAATTCTGGAAGTATTTAAATCAAATTGTTTTTAACTTTAGTAGAAATAAATTGTCTATTTAAATGAAATTAATTTCTATGAAATTGTTAGTTTTCATTTTAGGACCTGTGGGTTCAGGTAGAGATCGTAAAAATGAGGAAAAAGTGACCAAATCTGATTCCAATTTAGTTTTACTCGAACCTCTAAAAAAAGAGTCAGGTTTGTTTTTTTAAAATTATTATAAGCATTCAATGATATTAGATGATATTTGTAAATTTTCTTAGAATCAAATCTTTCAATAATTGACACTGTTGCGGCTACAAGTACATCAAACTACGACAGTTCCACTGACATCATACCATTTTCAAGCAATGACCCTGGATACAATTTATGGACATCATATATTTGGGGGCCGGTTTATGGGCAATCCACAAATAATTCTAGTCCACAGAAATAATCTCGTGAGTGTTAAATAATTACTATTTTTGTGACTATAAGGAAAATGTTTTTTAAGTTTTAATATTTTTGTTTTAGATATTTATAATGAAGGCCACTGCCCATGTAGTTATGCAAGTCCTTTTTGAAGACCTTAAAATTAGACTTTCTTTTGGACAATTGTAAGTTTCTTTTGTTTATAGACAATAATGGACTTGCCTTTGATATAGACATAYTATGTTTTTTGTGGACATTTTTGATCTTTTGAGTCTAACTAATGAGCACGATTTTTTTAGATATCTCGATGTTTTGTTTCTACTTTGTTGTTGATTTTTTCTCTTCTTATAATATCTGTCGTCATTCAGTAAAATAAAGACACGAGACATTTGGAAAATACAATTTTTTTTTTTTTTTTGTTATCATTAAATCTACAGAAATCCATAAACATTTTTGGGCGGTAAAAAATATAATTACAATTAACAATAAATAGATACTTGGTTCTATTTAAAGCAAGTAAGTAAAAATAAAATAAGTTTTAATTTCTCATAAAGTCAATATTCATTCCTATCAAACCAAGAAATCATAACTGTATTTACAATTTAATAAATTAAAATATGGATCAAGTGTAGTTTACCATGCTGCTTTGAATTGTGTATTTAATACAAGTTAAAATTAAGGTTCAATCAGAATTATTTCATGCTAGGGCTAAGAAYTAATAGTARACATGATTTTAACCATAAAGATTTTTTGTGAACAGACTGTCACTTGTGAACAGAAAATCACAGTGGTCCTACTGTCACAGGGATTTTCCATAATTATTTAGAAAAGTGTGTAATTGCTACATTTAGTATGTTTATAAGATAGGACTAAAATGGTCTGAATCCATGAATACTTGCTTCTATATTTTAAATAGTTAAAATAAAATATATTCTATAGTTTAAGTTTTTTTATTTACCAGTATAAAAAATAAAAGTACCTATAGAAACAAAACCTTTTTATCTCCATTATATAAACATACTAGTTGTGTAACTGCTCTAAAAAATATTACTTACAGTAAAACATAATCAAAACTTAGGTAATAATAATCAAAATCCCTAGGTGAATGGTAAACTACACTTCTGATAAAAGAAATAGTACATTTTACATAAATAAAATATTATTTTTAAAGCTATTCTTTTTCCACATATTCTTCTTTCATATCCCTTCCTTTAGTTTCTATTGGCAATAATGAACTCGCTATAGCAGCCATTAGAGCTGCAGTTATGTATATGATTATCGATGTATTAAATGATGACTTGAGCAATACCTAAAATATAAWATAATAATTAATCATTTTCTATTCAATGGTGTACTTGAACATCTGAGTGWTAGGAATTGTATTTTGGCTATCAGGCATACCTGTGCAACATATGGCGTAACCATAGCACCTAGGCGGGCCATAGCACTGCAAGTTCCGACACCTATGGATTTCAATGGYGTTGGATAAACCTATAACATCAGTTATATAAAAAAAAAAAACAATACAAATTTAATATATCACAATTGCTGAAATTACCTCTGGAGTATAAACATATATGGCTTGGAATACTCCTGCAATAATACCTCTTGCTAAAAACAATGTGATTGTTAACAGTACACGACTAAAAACAAATATAAAGTAATAAATTTAAGTAAAGCAAATAACTGTGTTATAGATGAAGTTTAAAATTAAGTTCTTACTGTTTTGCATACTGAAATAGTAAAAATAAAGTAATAGCAAATAATGTGAATTGAAAAACCAATGTAATCTTTCGACCAAATCTATCTATCACTAAAATGGTGGCAAATATCCCTGTAAAAATGTGTATATTTTTGTTCAATGGAAGTTCATTTTCACTTAAGACTATTGTTATTACCAGGAAATTCTGCTAGTGTTGTCCACAGAAGATCAATGTAGTCACGAGTTGTCAAATAATGAGATTCGGCAGTACAAGACTGCACAGTCTTAAAAATTCCACTGTCCAAGTTTGACGAACACGTCCTAATATTGTTACTGCTCTCAAATAGGCCGGTAGACATCAACACAATTCCGTAGTAGCAAAATGCACAGACCAACCTATTTTTTATATGTTTAAGTATTAAAACAACATGAGTAAATTTGTGTTTTGAATGAATCACCAAATGAACCAGAGTAAAATAGATGAGACTCTGAGTTGCGGCAACAGGAGGTCAGTAAAATGACCAYGTTTTTCTTCTAGAACTACATCGTCAACAACCAATCTACCTAAGAGCATTGGTTTTCCATTATCGTGTGCAACTTTTTTTAATGTTTCAATTGCCTTATCTGTTTGACCATTAGTTACTAAATACTTGGCTGATTCTGGTAACCACTAAAAATTGTAAAAACAAATATGTGTTTGATCATTATTGATTACTATAATAATTACTGTTTTATTTATACAATATGCTAAGTTCTAACCTAGAAAAAACAATGTGAAGTATCTACCATTGCAACTAAAACTAAGTGCTTAAGGTTTCAACTTAGTCAATAAATAAAATAAAAATTACAATCAATACAATTTGGAATTTTTTTTTGCATATTATGGTATAATTAGAATATTTTATTTGAACGGTGCTTTATTTTTTATCGTTTTTGCACAGTTTAGGACATGTGCAATAATATCATTAAAAACCTTAAACTATTTTACTGTGTTATACTTAAAACTTTCAAACTGATGTATAGTGTAATAATAAAATATAAAAGATTTAAWGTTGTATAAGTTATTTGTATTTTTAAACTTAAATCATTTATATCACAAAAATCTAACCATTTGAATTTGAACAGAGCATATTATATTGCCTGTTAGATCTTTGTGATGTAATCAGTGATATTAAAGATCATGCAAAAAGCATTTATGAGGTGTTTCATTACCGGACACACACATGCGAAACCAAGCAATGGTGCTGTGGATAGTACTAAAAGCCATTTCCAGCCTAATGTGGGCATCACTATTAAGGCCAAGAGAACTTCGAAGCATGCTCCGAGCGCCCAAAAACACTAAATAAAAATTGAAACAAAAATATTAATTTTTGATYAGGTATTTATAATTTTCATGAGGCGGTCTGAGATAGATTTTCATTATGGCAGTTATGAATACATAATTTAGTTTATATCAATCAAATAATGTGTAACAAACATGAAAAAAATGTCATTTGAAAATTTTTTCTCACAACGCCTCTATTTGTTATTGATATAATCATAYGTAAGTTACGTAACAATACAATATGACTATAAACACATAATATTATCTATTCCAATATAACTAATGCCCAAACTTACATCAAGTAGCACTACACATTTCGCCCGCTGTTTACAAGGTAAAAATTCTGCATATAACGTAACACTAACAAATATACAATACATCACAAACAAAATATGTCAAGATACTAAATGAAACAATTGTTACGTAATATAATTATTTTAACATACGACTGTGGAGAACAACCAATAGCAAATCCGACTAATCCTCGTAAAACCAATAACCATGTATAGTTTGGTGATATTGAGCTAAGAATGCCAAAATAGAACAATAGCACTGAACATAGAGTTAAAGCCTGTAAAATATAGAACATTATAGTATAAGTTTCATTAAAATTAATATGGAATAAAAAATAAATGTTTTTCATTAATTTTTGATAGTAAATTAAAAGGGACTAAGTGACATTTGTACTTTGTAGTGTTTTTAATTTGGAGTTAAACTTAATTCTAAACTAATTTAACAACTTCAATAGTTTTTTTTATATCATAATTTCATAACAATAATATCATGAATATAAATACTCGTATGGGTCCCAGAAGGACTCGTATCAAAGTATTAATTAATCATTAATTATTATTGAATCTATTCAAGTACAAATGGCTATATGTTTTTGATGAAAATGGTCTGTTAGGCTATATTATTATGGACCAAATAGTCATTTAATCCCTCTTTGACTTAGTAAAGTAATCAATAAGCATACCGTTTTTCGGCCAAACTTGTCGCTGAATGATCCCCAAAATGGTAAACTCAACATCATACCCATAAAAACAACCTAAAAACAATTAATATAAGTATAAAAACAGAATACAAAACAATATTATATTACAAATTTTAACAGTAGAATTTTGATGGATAATCCAAGATAAGCGAGAAATTGGAAATWTTAAACACAATAATATACCTATAAAGGTRTACATTAATATTTTCTTCAAGAATTTATATATTTTGGCGCATAATTACTAATACTTATTGATGCATTTACCTCGCTCAAGAATCGATTACATCAATTATCTAGCATATATTGTAGGAATGTAACGGATACACCTGCACACACAAAAGGTGACAAGATTTTACTCCAATGTGTGAGTAATTTGCATTGTGTTAATAAGGGATTGTAGACGCTGATGGTTAACTAAGTACAACGGTTAATAAAGGCTCTACTGTAAGTAACTTAACTTATAAAAACCAATAACATACAGAATTAGTTGAACACTTAAGGTAAACTCACAGTTGTTGCTAAAGCTTGTTGAAACAGTGTTATCTGCCATTCATATTGCAAAGTGGGTGATAAAATGCTCAGTATGGTCGTTTCCATGCTATCAGCCATCCAACAAAGTCCAGTGAATAACGACAATTTCACTTGAAATCTACCGAATCCAAAAGCATCTACAGCTTGAGCGACCGTATATGTTTCTGCCAGGAGTAGAATAGAAAAACGTTAAAACTGTTTGCGAGCCACAGGTCTTATACAACCAACTTGTAGGCATAACTGAATGATGTTTTTCAGTTTTTGTTGGCAAATGGCCTCATAGCCTAATATAACGATCGTGAAAACAGTACTTACCATCCGGCACAACGGTCACGTTACTCATTTCAAAGTCTTGTGCTTGTTTCTTGGAGCTAAAGGCATTGCTGATTCTGCGGTCAGATTCGTTTAGATTTTGGTAACCTGACGAGCAGGACTCCATCGTTTCGTCGAGGACTCAAACCGGATGTGTCACATAGCGCAGTTACAGAACGTCGAAGAAATGGGAATTGAAAACTAGAATGAAAAACCAACAATAGATGTTAATAATATGTTGTTTAAATGGTTTGAATTCGTAATTGAACCTACCGAATTTCGGAATACGAGATACTTAGATGACGGTAGTTCGAGCGTTTGACCACAGAAAATTAGTAAAGAATACGAGAGATGAGCATGAGATAMAACTACACGTCACACGAGTAAAGACTAATAGACTAAAGAGTACGACGTCAGTCTAAATATAAAATGTTTAATATTATTTATTATCATTCATAACCATGTCCACAATGTTATCGCCTTATCGGCGCGGCGAATTTATCATAATTTMTTTTTACACAGATCTATGCATATTTATYGCTCTTTTATTCTATGGAGCCAACGATATCGACGTTTATTTCTCCAAGAGTCAGKCCGATAATACGGACGGCCACAGCTGTTTAGAAAACTGATTGCAGAGATTTCTTTTCAAAGCCGAAAGATCGACTTCACAGAGMATTTTCCGACCTCGTTCCTACGAGATTAGTRATATACATACCAWATTATTTTAATATCGTCCATAAAGAGTAAGAATCAGTCGACATAAGTGAGTATTTTTTTTTAACCAATTTTCGTTTGATGATACACGTGACTAACGCCTTTCTGTAAAGGAGGGACGTCGTAGTCAAAGGTCAACACAAGGAACCGTCATCATTGACGACTGACATAATTTGTTTCAGGATGTTGTTCGCCGGTATAAARGAAACGCTCTCCAAGCTTGTGCAGTCTCCTTTTGGCGTGGTCAGAGCCGAAGAAGAAGAATTAGTTGACCCTGCCAAGGTGTTGAGGGTAAGTTTGGTGATACTACACTACGACACCGAAATCAATGTTATGTGTATTTTTAGGCTAAGTGTGAACAACAAAAAGAAGCGCAAGAACGGTTTGCCAAGCTGCAAGAATGCAACACTCGGGTAAATTCTAGAAAAGCAACGGCTGAAACCTGTGTTGAAGAATTCTGGGATTTTCTGGAAGTCGTTGATAAATGTATCGCAAAAGACCTGTTTGATCATCTCAAGTGAATAATGTATAATATATGGTGTTGCAGTTTGACAGCCATTTAGCCTTAGGTATTTTATGTGTGGTATAATCCATTCTGTAAACAATGATATGATATTACCATTATTTCTTGTTTTTTTTTTCGATTTTCCAATAAAATCTGAGTTGATTGACAACTAGTTCTAYTCTACTGATACTCTACTACCCTACTAATTGATGACACCTCATCTGAATTATTAAAATCATTTAGAATACGCGCAATTGTTAGAAACAATGCTACACATCACTTTTGTTGTAATATAACATTATAAATTTATTTTTCAGACATTATACCTAGTGATAGTACTAATATTCTGAATTATGATCAAASATAGATTATACCATTAGAAATCTGTTTTAACTAAACATTGTTGTTTAAATTAAATATATATATATATTTTTTTTTAAACGTAAATTTTAAACTCAATTTCATATTTTTATCCGTCTAAAATGGGTTTAGCTTATTGGTATCATTAAAAATTGGGTACTTTTTTTTTTCAAGTATGACCTTTAAATGGGAAGAATTTTAAATTTAATGTTGTTTCCTTATGAGAATATGATAACACGATTGTTAGAAAATGATTCTTGAAAACCAAATTAACATAATAATATGTGCGATAATTTTTAGTAACATTTCATATTATGTAAAAATCTAGTAACATTATAAATTTTAATTGATGAATAACAATTTTTTATCTATCAAAAACGTGTTATCATTTTCTGTTTAGAATTCAGGTATTTTTAGTCTTTCCTGTAATTTTAGACTTAATAAAAATAAAAAAAATGTTTTATTAAATACTATTACTAACTCCCACTATGTATCAATTACATGAATTAATGAAAATTAAACAAAATATGTTCGTTACAACTAATTTGACGAATATAATATGGAAGAAAAAAATTTTTAAATGCCTCTTTAACAAAATTTTTGTTGAAATGAAATTGTTTAAACTTACTAAAATCATAAAAACAA